GTTGGTCAAAGTCGTTCCTGGGGTTTCGGATTTGAGCTTAGGAGCAAAAGCTGTAATCTGTAACATCAAGCAAATATTGCGACTGAGCTGTCGGAAAAAAATCTCGCATGGAATTTCAGAAAAAGTGGCATTACAACGAAATAGGCGAAAAAAGGCATGGCCGCTCCCGGACTTTTGACACTGACAGTGACACCGCCACAACGATGTCAGCCGCATTCAGGAACAGCTGGTATTGACCTCAATAAGCGACAGGGAAAGAGATTTCGGGCAGTCCAGTGCAGGCACAAGAAGCAGCAGTGCAATCAGAATATTTTTTCTCGCACAAGCGTTTATCAAGCAATGCGACGAGATCACATCGGACCAGGAGCGCCCAGTGCCAGTATTCAATGTCCGAACTTATTTTGCGACTTCTGAGTTTAGGGTTTAGGGTTTTAGGGTTTAGGATTTATGGTTGTTTCCAATGACATTGATACTGTCATAACAGCTCCTGCCGACTCTTTGTCCAAAGCAGGCCTTCCGGGCTCTGCAACCATTCATTCAGCTTTTGCTGAATGGTCGATGGTGCCCTGTGTTTGGCTTCTGTGCGCCTGTCCTCCACATGGACTGGAAGGGCACTCACAGAACGAGGATTGATGAAGGTCTTGAGGCGGTCACGGCTGGAAGCCTCCAAAGTGGAAGGCCGATGTCGCTCAGCAAACCTCGGTTTTTGTGGTGCCCTACCTTGAATCTGAAACGCATTGCAGAATCCTGAATCGAATGGAAATGGTTGAAAGTTGAAACCCTAACTCTATCTGTCTGCATCAGACTAAGACTATCTATCCGTCTCTTTGTCGTGTGGCACCCACTGGTTTCCATTTACCGCAACAAGCAAAATGAAGATTAACAATCACCGAATCGAAAGGCTCCTTCATCTCATCTTCTGCATCGCGGCTGGAAGCCTCGAAGAAGGACCTCAATGACTCTGGATCTTGAAGACCTGCATGCCTTTGACCTGCACGATCATCGCTGCTAGCTCCCAGTTGCTGCAGTCTCCATGACGATGACTGCTCAGCCCTCTTTCTCTTCAGCGGGTTCTTCTTGAAAAGCGTTGGCGAAGTCAGAATTTCTGAAAGCTGAAGTACCAAGGCCTCGTCTCGAAGCCCACCGACGCAACTGACGCCGGCCTCGCGGAGCTGCAATCGCTGAGCAATCCGATGAGGCGGTAGCGTGGAATCTTCATCAAAGATATGGTGGATCATTGAGAAATATCTCTCGTTCACGCTGTCGCACACGGTCATGCATCGACAATGATGATGCAGCAACACCATGTGCCAACAATGGCCTTCAGGATTGAACCTGGTCTTGTCACAGCTACGCGGCATGTTCAGGGAACGGTCGAGGTCCATTGCACTGGAAATGGCAGCTGAATTCACGACCTTATGCTCCTTGGTGACTCTGACCACTTTGCCGAACAGCTCCGAAGTTTGGCCTTTACCCCCTCGCCGGATAGCCGCAAGACTTCCGCACCTGAGGACACATGGGAAACAAACATTATCACATGACATCTTACTTTGAAACTTTTACATGTCGCATTTCACAATCAATAACATATCAGGTTCAAACATTATTAGAACCAGGGATCATTGCTCATCTTGCTCACCTAGGCGCCGGCCCCGGAATCTGCCTTCCAGCTTCCTTGCTCCTCGGGCCGCAGATGCAAAGCCCACTTGCCGCAACGACCCTGCACTGATTCGAAAGGGCTGCTGCTTGGTTGACAAGAAGGACCAGATCAAGGATACCAGGATTGACACTGTAGCAGGTTTGCTTCGGCAGAAGCATTTAGCAACCAGGGAAGCTGAGACCCCTCCCGGCTCGACAATGGGGATCACATCGTAGTGCGTCACAAGACTCCAGTCCGGTCTCTTGGGATACTGCTCTTTTAGCCGTCTCACCAAATGAAAGTACTGGGCAGCAATTTGCTTTGATGAAGGCCAAGTTCGACTGACATACGGGAACTCTTCAGGGTCGGGCCATGCAAAATGCATCAAAGAAGGTTTGAGTGCCTCGACCAGCTCTTCGCAGGACTTCCGGTGAGAAGCCGAGAACGGCATCTGCCGGTGCAGGAAATAGTCCCAATCGAAGCAGGAAGCCATTTTCTCGAAAAGACCCTTGACAAAGTCGGATGTCCCAACACTTCCCAGATAGTCATCATAGGCCACACCCAGCTCGCAGAGCCACTTGTCTGACACTGACAGGCCGTTGCTGATCTTGTTGTAAATGAAGGGCATGGACCTGGCAATCATATAACATTGGGTGCAGAGACGGGCACCAAAAGAAGAACATTGACATAAGAACCTGATTTCAGAACAGCTAGCACAAAGAAGACTACATCAAGGATACGTGCTCTTAGAGCAAAGGAACGGATTGGCGACGCAGCGATTCTGGTCAGCAGCCTGGTGGAACCTGGAAACACCTTGCAGCCGAAGAGGAGCTCTGCGCTCCATTGGCAGT